ATTACTGAGGATCATGTAGCCAGCAAAGTCATCAATAACCTTCACATCTATCCCCTTTTCCTCAATAGAGATGTAAGGCTCGGTGATTAAACTCTTGAGTCAGTTGTTTGCCCCGTGCCATTCCTTGCCTGACATATCGCATTCATTGAGGATGATAAGTTTTTTGGCACGAACAGCCGCATTGAACCTTCCCATTACATCTTCAAGACGGGTAGTGGAGAGGAAATTTTCACGGCCGAGAATACGTTCTCCGATAAAATCGGTTAAGATATTCTTACCACATCTGGGGAGACTGCGCATGATAATTGCTGTACCGGGTTTTTTGTCTGGATTTTGAATTAGAAATGCGAGCCAGTTGAGGATGTATATGGTTAATTGCTTGTCCTCTGCACACCATACCTCATGAACGTGTTGGATGATTGGATTAACTAGGTTTGGTTTGATGTGCTCAGCGGGTTGGGCCCTGAAACCTAGGAAGAGATTGAAGAATTCAGGATTATACTTTGGTGTGTTTGGGGGTAAGGCATGAAGTTTACATCTGTATAACAGATCTTTGCGATTGAGGCTTGGAGAAGAAGATCCTTTAATTTGGTGGATGTGGTCGCGTCACTGTCTTCTCCGGTATCTGACCGAATAATTACCTTGTGCTTAGTAGAAATCCCCTTGAGATCTGCGGCGAACTCGAAGTATATGCTTCCATTGTAAGCCTTCTTTTTTCTAATCCACATGCCGGATTTTGTGGTGATAAAAGCCACAGAAGCCGAGATTGCTGAATTGACGCTTTCTTTCGTGTGTGTACCTACACATTTTTTAAGAAGGTCATCGTAGAAGAAACGGTTGTTGGGGTTAAAGATTGCTGGAACTTGAGCGGCCATTTTTTGTTCTATTAAATCGAGTACTAATTTATAGTTATCTAATCTTCAATTGCCGAATATATTTTTTCGAGTGAGATAGAGGGGCAGGTGTCCATAGCTTGAATCGGATTTTGGAGCCTGAGGGGCTTACTAAAGTGTCCATAGTTCAGCTGCCATAGTTCGGGATATAGAGTGGTCATAGTTCGGTGGTCATAGTTCGGTGGTCATAGTTCGGTGGTCATAGTTCGGGGCAAGTGGTCATAGTTCGGGGCAAGTGGTCATAGTTCGAGACAAGTGGTCATAGTTCGGTGGTTATAGTTCGGTGGTTATACTTGGGATCCAGGTGAGTGTATAAAGGATAATCATAGCATAAATCAGGTTTTGGAGTCTGAGGAGCTTACTAAGGTGGTCATAGTTCGGTGGTCATAGTATTATCATAAGTTTTTTGAACTGTGGCCAGTACTATGACCGGATATTCTGTCTGATTTCGGCTTTATTCACGTTTTTATCCACTTTTTAGTAGTCTGGTCATAGTGGTCATAGTGGTCATAGTAGTTTTAATATATAAGAAAAAATGGAGAAAAAAAAAGAAGTTGGAAAGTACTGTGACCAGCCATGGCCACTGTGGCCATGGCGTTAGTATATATGGGGAATTCTCTACCCCACGAAGGGGGGATGTAGGT